CTCTTCCGATCTCCCCAAAACCCCAAAACCCCATGAATCATCTAAGATATAAACTATAAGATTTCCAATAATAATCTTAAATAAATATGAGATAATAATTTAGCTCAGTCTTAGTTATTCTTTACATTCTTTAGATTTTCACATCTTAAGTTAATGCCGAGGTAGAAATCAGATATGATCTCGATCCTAGTGAACATTTAGATATATACGACGAAAACTTCACTCCAGAAAACACAGCTATCTTCGAAAATGGCACACTATGGATGCATCAAGAGCATCATAGACTAAAAATAGAAATTATGTGTTTCTTTTTCAATTCTGATGCGTAAGAAACTGTTTATTTTATTTATCTTATAGTAAAAACTGTTTTGTATCACTGCTAAGCATAGTATTCAGAGGAGATTTCACTTACTAAACTAACAAGAACATCATTTTCAATGATGCAAGATTCAAATGCTAGAGGAAGGATGGAAGATTCTGCAATATAAGATTCACTTCTTCAGGTGATAACACAAGCTTTGAACTTATCAAAAATAGTCAGTTGATAGGTGAACAGATCGTATTATGGGGTCCTAATTTGACTGTTAAAATTGATGCCTCATCATCAATAAATGCCACAGGCACCTCAGATGAAATAACTGGAACTCAAGCCAATTAAGGTGCATCATTCATTAGTAAACAGATTCTTAAATAAATCATAATTACCTATAGGTGAGGGAGGATTCTGTGGGGATAACATAGTAAAAAAAAATTATGGATCCTATAATACCTACCCTAACTTTGCAAATGTTGTAGACCTAACAAATAGGATAGGCTCTTAAGGAATAAAGGGAGATATCAATACTAATGGTGGCGGTAGGATCATAATTATGGCTGATAGCGTAGTCTTACAAGGTAAAAGTGATAAATTACTGGCAAATGGTTTACCTCTTGCCATTAATAGAACATCTGGCAAGGATCAAACAACTCTTAGGCATGGAGGTTCTGGAGGCTATATTTATCTTAATACTTCTCAAAGAATTCAAAAGAACCAGATTGATAATGGTGTGAAGTTCTAGGCAAATGGTGGCAATGGCAAAATAGGGGGTAGTGGAGGAGCTGGTGGTTAAATCATTCTTGTTAAAGTCTTTATTGGTAGTGAGTTCTTAAATTCTACTCCTGGGTATGTTCAAGATTACCAAAATAATATCATGCTAAACAATACCTAGATATGTAAGCATGGTGGACCAGGTATTGTTTATTTTTAAGATCTTGATTTTCTTACCATCAATCCCTATTCAACACCTAATAACAAAAGAACTTTTCTTAATGGCAATAACTCAACTTTAATTTTAAAGTCTTTAGAAATGAGAGACTACACTAGACTAAGTCTTTCATAAATTTCAAATCTAACAATCACATCTTAATTTAGAACACTTTCAAATACTAGTATATCAGTCTTTGAATCCCAATAAGAAAGATTATTGATAAAGACTGGTTCTCAATTGATACTAAATTCTTTTACGTAAGAAATTTGTTAACACTTGACAATATTATATTTAGTCTATTCAACTTCTCAAATGTGAATAAGTTAACGATTTAAACAGCATCTACAGGTGTTTTGACTATTTCTAATCTTATCACCTTTCGCTAATCTTTAGAAATTTAGGCAAACTGTAAGGATATTTGAGTTAAATTATTTTAGCGATCATTATAACATCGAATCTTATCCCCCTAAATAGGAATTAATAATCTTCTTTCATCAATCTACTTGCTACATAAGACCTTAACTTCACTGCAACAAACTAAAAAATTTTGGCTCCGAGGATTTTTCTATAAGGCAATAGAAGCATAAATCTCCCCTTTAACATGATTATTTCTACATCAGTCCAAAATCAATTACTCCTATCGTCACTGGAAGATAGATATACTTTTCTTAGCCTGGGATAATCACCTAGACTATAGTAAACATTAAGTTCTGGAATAAGAATCTAACCAAACTCAACATCATAATATGATGTCTTGCTTTACTCAAATAACAGAATCAATGCTAATCAAGTAATTCTTTAGGGTTAATTCGTGGGTATAAGAGGTTACAACATATCATTACTTACTCCTACAATTACAGCTGAAAGCAAAGTCACTAATACTCCAACAATCAACATTTATGCATTTCAAAGGTTACAATTGAATGGTACAACAAAGATTAACGGCAATAGAATATGGATTAGTGCACAATCAATTAACTCTAATGATGAGATATAAATGAGCAGTTCACTTGATGATAATAGTGTATCTTAGGGAACAACCGGAAAAGATATCTCAGATTATCACATTGCAATACAATCTGATACAAATATCAATTTTTCAAAGACTTCTACAATAACTGCAGCTAGTATTAGTCTCTAAGCTCTTAATGGAAGCATTAGCTTAGCTTCGCCATAGTATTAAACTATTAGCACTAAGATTTATCCTAGCATCAACATACACTCTAATGGAAATATAACTTTTTAAGAATTCAAAAATTAAGAGTCAATTCTTAAATCTCTTGGAGCTATCTACTTAATAAGTGGAATGATAGTAGATCTAGGTGGAAGAGTTTCCATTTTTACTGATTTAAAAACTCTTTAGAGCTCAATTACAGATATTACATTAGCTATTAAACTTCAATAAGGTAAGATAGTTCTCATTTAAATATAATCCAACAATAGCGTTTTATAATGACTATTCCTTGAAAATAGTCCAAGGAAAAGACAACTTACTTATTTTGGATTAAGACAAATTCTAAAGCTTTAACCTATTGCTACAGTCTGATGCAGGAATACAAATATCAAACTCTATTATTAGAGCTAGTTAGTCTTAATCATCTCTAGGTCTCAATATTATCACCTAGAATTTCCTTCAAATCAACAGCAACTCTTAGGTATATTCTATTACATATATTCTCCTATGATATTCATAATAAACTAAACAAACATTAATATAGATAACAAGTGCAAGTTCGTTAAATATTGTGGCTCCTTCAATAATTGATATGGTGGATGTGGACCTGATTGATGTCTTTTAAGATGTGATCCTTACTACCAATGGACTTCTGAATATCTAAAACGTCAAGATTTACGCTAAAACCCTATAATCTTATTCCTAGGATGTATCTCTTGTCAATTCAGAGTTCAAATTAAACAGCACTCAGCTAAATTAAATGCAGTTAAACATGACTGTGATCAATAGAGTGTCTGCTTAAGGCTTTAATTTAACTACTTAAAATATGCTAATGAATGTTACAAATTAAGTTGAATTATAGAACTCAAGACTCTATTATTCCTTGAATGGAACAATAATTTCTAATAAGTCTATTTCAATTACTAATTCAACAATCAGAGGTACTTAGTTAGAACTATATGCCAATGATTAGATCAATTTTGTTCAGCAATCATTGCTAAATGTGACAGGTTATCCTTAAAAGGATCACATATATTCATTCAAAGTAATAAGTACTAAAGATTTAAGTATAACTGATTCATTTGTAAGATCCCGATTTGAATTAAACCTATAGATATATTCCCAATTCAGTTCAATAGAAGTTTAAGGAATTTAATTTGATAGCTCAGTCATCAACCCAAGTAAACTGAGTGACTATTCTAATCTATATGTTAATACCACGGTAAAAGGACAGTATTACAATGATGTTTCTATTTTGGCGACTAAAATAGTATTTAATAGCACTGGAGACATTATTACTCAAAGAGGCTCTCTTTACTCTCTCAGCTATACTTAAATAACAATGTAAGAGAATTTAAAAATTTTATGCTGATTTTCTAGATAAAATTTATAAAGTACAGAGTTAATTTACTATCTATCCATGCAATCTTCTGGTAGTGTGAAATTAATAGATACACCAGTGAATTCATCTACCTTATTCATCAATGCTCTAGGAGGTAAGCTTTTTTTTAATCTGAACATCTATTTCAGACATCTCTCATAACAAACCAGTGAATCTAGTTTAAAGACAAGTCTTCCTGGATAGTCCTTATCCGTATAATGTATCAGCAGGTGGATCTATTACCCTTATTGGCGATGTATTTTAGCCTAATTAATAAGTTTACTTTAGATCATAGCAGATAAAGTTGTTATTTAAAGCAAATAAAGCATAGATTTAAGAAATATGAAGATCATTTCTAATTTCACATAAACAGGTAAACTCGCTCTCTCTGGAAATCCTCTTTACTTTCCCTATGCCTATTATGATGTTGTTCTACTATCTGATTCAGGCTCAATAACCCTAGAAGACACTTCAGTTTACCATTTAGCAGGTGCCATCATCTCAAATAGCTCTATAACTACGGATAATTTCAATTTCATATCGACACAAACTGACCAAAATTACTATGGTTGCCTTATTCATGCTTTGACTACTGAGGACTAGGATAGTATCAACTTTCTAAATTCAAAGGTAATATTGGATCAATTTATCTCAATAATTTAGATTGTCGCTTAAAAATCAAGATTCGATGCAGTCTATGTCGAAATATCAAACACAACTTTGACTCCAATCAATCAGGTTGACATGTCTAGCCTGTTTATTGAAGCAAGTTAAGATATTATCCTTCTAAATTACACCGTAAAATTCAACTGATTTGCTAAATAAAATTTTATAGTTGCAATCAACAAAGATAAGTTTGAATGCTAGTTAGAATATTAAAGCCAATACCGGAAATTTAAGTTCTCTATCATTCATTTAAAGCGTCCCGTAAATCATTATTAATGCCTTGATTAATTCTAATTTAGTCAAAATGATAAGAGCTTAGACTTGATATTTTACCTTGCTATTTATTCTAGAGGAAAGGTGAACATGCCTAACACCTATATCAACTCTACTAACCTTTATATTTTATCAACTGGAGGTATCCATTATTTTATCTCAAATCATTTTAGATATCAGATTAGACAAAACTATCCAATTATCATAAAAGCAGGTCTATATTAATGGACCTTACATTATGAACATCACCTCCATTTCAGGATAAATTTCAATTCAGACTGATGTAAGCAATAATTATTTTCAAGGATTTCAATATTTTCTTAGGTTTTCTCTGATAAAGTCTTTATACAAAGTTAAGGAGATCTTTCATTTGGTACTGGAAAAATGGATTCTAATTAATTATTACAGGCATAAGCTAATCTGTAGAAACTTAACGTTTAAAACTCGTTCTAATATCCTAATTATGATGTAGTCCTGATGTCATAGTAAGGAGAAATCAAGTTGTAATCAGCCTTTATCAATCATCAAGCAGCCACAATAATCTCTAATAAACAAATTACCATAGACTCTTCATAAATTAACGTTTATTCTTAGGATTAATCACTCCAAAGTCTATAGCTAATCATGAATCAAGTTGATAATAGCAATCAAAAACTCAGTTAATCTCCTTTAACAAATAACATCAAAATTTCTAATTCAAATTTGGTCTCATAAAGCACTCTGATAATGAGCTTGAGTCTTGATTCTAATGATGTTAAACTACTTCCTTAAAAAGAATTAGATTATTCAACTTTGATGATCACTTGCACTCAGACTATTAATCTTTAAAACTATTAGGTATTAAATGTATCGTTAATAACAATTTATAGATTGAAGCTACTTAGATCAATTTGTCTACCGGTCAATCAAGTATAACTGGTTAGGATGGATCAATTGTATCAACATCATATTAAAAACAAAACTTGTAAGATACAGCAATTTTTATGAAATTTAGAGCTAAATTTGACAACTAAAAATCCCTCATTTACTATCTCTAAGTGTAATCAGCTGATTAAATAAAGTTCTTGAATTCTCCAATTAACTCTTCTTCTATAATGCTTAATTCGGTCGGAGGTAAACTTTATCACATCTAATCATCTTGTTAGATATAACGCTGGATTAATACATCTAAACATCTTAGACTTAAGACTACCTTGATAGCCAACCAATCTTAAATCTTACTTCATCTTAGGGATCAATAACTATTCAGAAAGATATTGTTGCTGATAAACTCATCATCCAAAGTCAAAAAGGCATTAGCTACTCGAATGGCAACATAATCTCAAATTAGACTAATGCTGCCACTCTTAAAGCTTAGAATAATCAACAAACTAGTCCATATAATCTATATGATGTAGTTTTCATGACTATTGATGGAGATATCTAAATGAATAATTGCGCTATTTCACATTAAGCAGGAGTCTATATTACCAATAAGTCTATTTCTATGACTCAGGTAAGCCTAAGTGCTCTCCAATCAAGCCAATCTTTTTCAGGTTAGATTTTTCAAGCGAATGGAGACATTACAATGCAGAATATTCAGGTAACTAATTCAGTATTTAGTAATTATAGATTTACTCTGATAACTTGTAAATCTATACAAATGGATCACTTTCAATTATGCAAGGCACCAATATTTTCACCATTTATGAAAAAGATTTCTAGCTTAATCAAGATAAAAATAAAAATAATTAGTTCTAAACAACTTTATATTCAGCACAAAAAGCAGTTATTTAGAATCTCAAAATGAAAACCTATAGTACAGTTATAAGTGCAGGAGATTTAAGCATAGGTTAAAGTTAGTTTTTAAGATACTCTGATCAAGATTTGAATAGAGTGATCCTCAATGTTTCCTCAAATCTATTAGCTACCTCTTTTGAAGTAAGAATTTTAGAACTTAATAAATAATTAAGGTAATTGCATACTCTAACTTGTTCTATGGAAATTAGAGCATTGTATTTGATTCATGTGATGTTAGAAGCTAATCAAAAAGTAGCTTGGCAGACTCTGACAAAAATTATGAACTAACTTTTATCAGTTCTGAAGGTCCAGTATCTATCCAAGGAATGACCAAATTTAACTCAGATGACTTAATGATATCTTCTGTATAGAATGTTTCAATCAGCCGATTGAATCTACTTATCTAGGATCAAGAAAAGGGGGCAGATCCGGATATAAGCATATAAACTAGCGAATATCTTAACTTAAATGAATAGGTAACATTTACAGGAGGGGATATGATCCTATCAGGCACTAAAGGTGTAATAATGGACGGGGTTGCGAGCTTTTATGATAAGAAGGTATAGAAATCATAGAGAACAGATTATACCTTCTAACTTCTTTCGTCTCAGGGAAGCATAACTTCAGATAGTCTCAGCATAGATGGTTAAAATATACTCATCCGATGTTCTGATTTCCAGTCAAATAAATTATCATTGGAATCAGAGGATTACGAGACGAAGCAACCAGATATCAATCTTATAGCTAGTTCTAACATCAACATTAAGCAAGCCAAGATTTACGGAGGTTATATTAATTTGCAAAACAATAAGAGGTTTACAATTTAGAACTATGATATCTAGAGCTAATTGAATGCCAGTCTTCCAGAAAAAGATTAGAACGATGTCAAATCTGTATACATCTTGAGTAAAGACCAATTAATTCTAGATACTGGAAGTATTACTTCCCCTAATATGGCTATCCAAGCAAAAGATATCTATCTTTCCAATACCAATTTCAATGCAACTAAAGTATCAGGCTACCCAAATCTTGGATTGTTTGGAATAAACACTTTCTAATCAGCAGGAACTCTCAATGTAAGATTAATTTACAATTAAATTACCATCTATTAGATAAATGGTGGTCTTATTCAACTTGATGGCACTAATGGATTTTCACTTGATAATTCTAATTTTAATATACAAAGTAACTAAAGTCTCATCAACTTCACTAACATTGATAAGAATACAATTAATGCTGTTGCAATCAGTTCTAATAAGGATGTAAGATTGAGTTCAAACTAAAATGACTCTGGTAAAATCAAAGCCTAAAATGTTAGAATCAAGGGTAAAAACGTTAGTTTGTATAATACCCTTCTTGACTCCTCATATACCGAAGCATAATAAGCATTATATGGCAATGTTACTATGATTGCTAGCGATTCTATAATGATTTCAGATCAATCCAACTTACAAGCCAAAAATATAGATCTATAGGCTAAATCCTAATTGAGCATAATTAATGGAGCTAAAGTATAAGTCAAAAGCAATGATAAGATACAAAGTATAGAGTAATTCCCTATTAATTGGAATATTTCACAAGGAACTATCAAGATTTCATCGTCAGATATTATCTCTAAGTAAGCTTTGCAGTTAGATACAAACGAAATCTATATATACTCCTCAAACATTAAAGTAGAAGATTACTCAATTAATAATGCTATAAATTCTAACATAAGGTTATTTGCAAACAACTTAATTTCAATTTCAAGTAAAACCTAAATAAATTCAAGATAGCTATTGATGCTATCTAAATCTGCATTGTAAATTACAGAGGATTCTAAGATTTCCTCTACAATTCAGAATACATGCAACATAGATGAGAGTTAATAATCAGATCTATTCTATTGCTTACCTAAGTCAAGCACCGATCAAGCTCTCTCTGAGCAGGACATACTTCAATAGTACATGATCGACTATCATAAGGAAAACATCACAAGTATTGCTCAGATATATGACTAAATTTAAGGAAATTATACTACATTCATTTTGGCTTATGATAGAATAAAGGTTGATTCATCAAATGTTGCTGCTCCTAGAATAGGAATGTGCAGCTCAACTATACAATTTACATCAAGTATTTTTGATACTGATGGAAGAGGATGTCCTAGTGATAGTGGACTTGGAGCTGGAGTAAAATTTGAAGGTTGTGCAGCTACTGGTGCAGGCCATGGAGGTATGGGTGGAGCAGGAGCTAAACTGCTTGACTCTAAAGTTTTTGCTAACTGTGAAAAACTTCACCCAGTTTCCTATGTTGAATCTGATTTAGAAGCTAGATATGAAGGAAGTGGAGGTGGAAGCAATATTAAAGACACAAATATGGGTGGAGCTGGCGGTGGTATAATATGGATAACAGCCGCAGAAAAATTATCTATGCAAGATACTAATCTTACTGCAAAAGGACTTCCAGGAAATGATGATGGCTCAGGAGTAGGAAATGGAGGAGGTAGTGGAGGAAGTATATAGATACTAGCAAGCAAACTTGATGGTGATGGACATTTAAGTGTTTAAGGAGGTGATGGTTCTAACTATGGAGGAGGCATGGGTGCAGGCGGAAGGATAATCATATATTATCTTGGGAATTATCTGTCTTAGTATTATTCCACAAGATCACTTGATTGGCTAGGTGACCTTGATGTCAATCCTGGAAATTCAGGTATTCTAGGTAAGAATCAACAAAGATTGGAAAAGAGTGTTGAGAGTTAAAATGGTACAGTATGGCATCCTAGATGTCCCTCAGGTCATAGTGGTGGCTTTTGTAATCCTTGTCCCATTGGTACCTACAAGTATGGATACTCCTATGGCAAATGCAACTAGTGTGAGAATAAGCCAGACAATTCTTATTATACTTCAGTGGCAGTAGCTACTGCTTTATGTCCCTATGAATGTAACTCTGGTATTGATAAATCAGATATTAACCCTGACTGTCTTGGAGCTATCGATTTTTAAATTTAATAGTTTGGTAGTTAATATCTCTTGCTTTTGGTTGTAACATTATTCCTGCTATTGACTATGATTTAATGGATTTGCTTAATTAGAAAATAAAGAACTAAGAGATAATTAGCATCAAAGAGGAAAATCAAAGTAGTTCTAGGCATTGAAGAGTCAGAAAAAATATTATAGTTAAATTCAAATGGGTTAAGAGAGTCAAAACTAGAATCAGTTGAGGGAGCTATTGTCAACAAAAAGCATATTGGCTCAATAGAGACTTAAGAAAAGGATTTATGGTATCACTCATACAGATTATATCTCCTAGGCTTCAACACTATTAAATTCCCTTGGATTTTAACTAAAGATATGCCTTAAAACATTATTAGTGAGGAAAATTTCAAAAAGCTAGAGAATGTTATCTAAAATAATCATAATCTCCTAGCTTGGTCAAAGCTGTAATCAATGGCATTTGTTGTTTTAAAGGTGCTATATCCACCTTTCGCTACGATTTTCCATTAATAAATTAGAAAGACTAAGTATACAAAGCTAAGAAATCTTTTACTCAAGACATTTGATAAGGATTTCTGGGATGATTACTCTGTTAACTAATCAATAAGAATTCAATGTTCAAAGTCAAACTATGAACTAGCATAGATAGATTTCATTGATTATTCCAAGTAATTTGATGATTATAGAGGGCCTAAGTTACCATTGATTATTCTATTATCAGGATCAGGTACTTTTAACAGTCCTTATCATCTTGATTACGAAACTGATCCTCTCATTAAATCAATAATGATGATAGACAAAAAACGTAAGTATATCTTAAAATTTTTTAAAAATCTTTAGATTTAAGGAATAAGTTGCCAATGTACCTTGAAAATTTAGATACTCTACTGAAGAGATTGAGCTTTTATAATTTGACTGGATAAACTTTGAAAGATTTAAACACAGTCTTAGATCATGTTGACTTTGGCAATAAGCATCTATTTTTCCCAATCAATGCTAAGGCTACTTTATATCTCTTTGAAAATAAATTTAGTGAAGATGGCTAGTAAAAGAGAAGAAGTTTTCCACTAGACTCTAAGTTCTTTGATGCCTTTCCTAGAACATTCAAGATCTTAATGCATTATGTTAAGTTGAGGCTATATCAGAAAAAAACAGAGATTAAATTTGGAATAGTCTTTACAAAAAATGATGAAAATAAGTAAAAGAAAGCTGATGAAAAAATCCAGCTTTACATTCAGAGAAATACAGTAATGAACAGTAGTGCTTATAAAAAGGCTAAGGGTAATAGAAATGACTCAATTGTTGTTCAAGATTCAACCATAATAGAAGATGAGGATAACTCCTTGATATAGACTTTGAATAAAGATAAGTAGAGTGAGGAGTAACCAACCTACAACATTAATTTCTCTATTCAAAGACAAGAAACATTCTTTGCAGATTGTTTACCTGATGAATATGGCGATGAAGAAATTGAAAATTTAGAAGAGGATAACTTTGAGGAGCAGATTGAAAAGAATTTCAGAACAAGCATCATTGACAAACCTTAAGAGAGACACTAGGACACTTAATATCTAGAGACTGTAGAGAATCAAGAATAGCAGGCTCGCAAACTAATTAAGAGAGCTTTTTCTATATCAAAGAACTCAACTAAAAATCTAGAGCTCTCTTTGAGAAAACCTAGAGATAAGTGTAAACACAAAGTTCTTAAATTCGTCTCTATTCTTTATTCTTTCTACACAATCGCATTATAGCTCTAGGCCAAACCACCTAGGAAGAGATACTTTATGATTTATTTTGTGATTTCTCTCTTGATATCTCTTGATTGCTTGCTTGGTCTAAGCTTTTTACTACATTTATTGCATCCGATCTCAAATATGCAAACCATTGGAGTACTATATTATGGTATTTACCCACTATTACCTTTTGCTTCACCTATACTTGGACTATTAGGAGTAAGAATTTAAATATATAACTTTGCTCAATTTTTAGACAATAACTGGCTCTCCAACTTTCCTAAAGCAGTATATGGTAATTAATGCTCTGCTTTGCTTGTTCAATTATCCTATTACTCTTATTTCCCAGATAGTATATGATGATGAGGTCTTCTTCATTATGATAATATTTGTCAAACTCCTTCTAAAGGTAATTATCTGATAATTTAACTTTATCAATTACAGTTCCCTATCTCATTCTTTGGAGCAAAAGTAAGAGCTGATTTAGAAAATCCCCATTTCCACAAGAATAGACTTAGATTGAAGCAAATGACCAAAGAAAAATAAGAGAGAATGAGCAAGGCTCTTGAAAATAATGATTCTGATGATGAATATGAATATTCAAGCGATGATAATAGTGATGAAGATACAAATCTAGAAAAAAACCAAAAATGATTTAATCTTATAATTCTTGATTTCATGATAATACATCAAAATGAATTAATGATTGTGCATGTAGGGGTTTTGGGGTTTTGGGG